CTAGAACCCACAATAATTGTCTTAGACGATAACAACTGAAAAGCTTGAAACGTCGCTTTGATAACGATGAAACCCTCTATCGGAACTCAAACGACCTGATTTTAAAAAATGGACTTAAGAGTTATTTTAGATGTACATAACGCCAAGGACACTTGTGGCCGAGAAATTCATTGTGTGGTTCTTTTAGTTAACTGCCCACACTTTGACTTTGAGTTTGTACAGGTGGTGTAGTGTTATGAGAAAATAAGACGAAAAAATATCGACGTGTTGTCCCAGGTAAAATTTTGTACAATTATTGATTCATAAAATTAATCATTTGTGAGTCAAAATCCAGCGCTTTTCACTTNAAATGGACTTAAGAGTTATTTTAGATGTACATAACGCCAAGGACACTTGTGGCCGAGAAATTCATTGTGTGGTTCTTTTAGTTAACTGCCCACACTTTGACTTTGAGTTTGTACAGGTGGTGTAGTGTTATGAGAAAATAAGACGAAAAAATATCGACGTGTTGTCCCAGGTAAAATTTTGTACAATTATTGATTCATAAAATTAATCATTTGTGAGTCAAAATCCAGCGCTTTTCACTTTATTTATAAGTAATTAGTAGCATTCAGCCCGTTTAAAGATAAGACCGGATTAGTACGAATTTACGTAGAACGTTGCATTTTTCAGTTTGTTGCTTCTACTTAAGATAATTTCAGTCTTCTATGGCTTTGTCCAATAAAGGTTTTGAAGTGACAAACGCCAGGATAAAAACTGACGTGGATTTTCAAAAAATAGAAAATGATAATAGTTTCCTCTTGAATACTAAAGGCCCATTTGTTTTGAAAATCGCACTTTTGTAAATGGCGCCCTCCGATTGGTCAACACTTTTGCCCGGAAAATTTGTAGAATACTATACCTTAGTCTTGAATAAATGGCACAACACTGTCTTTTTCGGTAAAAATAAATGGAATTTACAACAACCTTTTCAGTGATCAATTGTTGCCTCAACGAGCAGCCTCAAGTAGCAGTTGGTATTGAAGACCTCGAGTTGCATTGGGCTGCCACACCTGTTGATTGAGTTATTTTACAATGGTATGCCTGTGGCTCGGACGGAGGACGGCCAAAACTTTTTGGGGGATCACTTTCTTGGGGAGGGTGGAAACTAAGCTTCAAATAGTAAACAAGCCTTCCCATTTTGTTTCCAATCCTTTCTGACCTTTCTGAGCTGTTTCAGCTGGCCGCCGAGGTTCTCCTTCACGGCAGTAACGCGGACTGGTGGACGGACAATCACGTGACTACCAAAATTATCGAATGCGTGGGTAACCAAATTTTCTTACCAATGGTGCTTCGCAGCGCGCGCTTGGCTTATGTTGATTATTTCGACAAAAGTCTGTGATTTCTCGCAGGAAAAATTCACCGATTTCTATTCGATACTTAAGGCAGCCCAAAAGCGTCATGGCAATTTCAATTTGCTCAACCAGGTCCGTGGAGGGTACCACTTTCCTCTTCAAAATTTCCTTGCATATTAAATTAGTATTGTTTTCCACTTCACCAATCCGTCTCGATTAGCTCAAGCTAATGTTGCATAAAAAACGGTCCTTGTAAAAAAGCGTCATTTTTATGTCAAAAAGCTGCTTTTTTACAAATCGAAGGTTGTAAAAATGCTGCTTTTTTACAAAAAATATATTTTTGTAAAAAAACTGCTTTTTTACGTAAAAAATCTGGTTTTTTTACAAAAGATATATTTTTGTAAAAAAACTGCTTTTTTACGTAAAAAATCTGTTTTTTTTACAAAAGATATTTTTGTAAGAAAGCTGCCTTTTTATGTAAAAATCCTGCTATTTTACACAAAAAGACCATTTTACAAACCCATTTATCGAAGACAGGCTGTTTTCGAACTTTACTGATTGAATTGTAGTTTTCGTGCGCTTCTCAAACCGTACATTTCAAGATATCCGGCTAGTCACGTTCACGTTCCCGTGTCCCCTTTATTGTGGGGCTTTTAAATTCCCTTGTTAACTCGCTGACAGCGTTAAAAATTTACGTTCTTTTTATTCTTTTTATTATTTCTTCTCGTTACCTTTGTCATTCAATTTTCCAGGACCTTCTAATTGTTGGATGCGAAGAAGGAACAGGCAGTAATTTCATTTGTTATGCTTATCGGCTGAGGTCACGCACGGCCGTAACTGCATGTTAGGCAATAACAGAATAGCTGGGTTGTTCACTGTCTTATTTATAAGCAATGCCTGTCACAATCTCTTGCAGCAACCAAAGCCTTCTATTCTCTCCTTCTTTGCTACTTTTGTTCAAGCCGAAAACTGTACAGAATATTGTTCTATATTATTAGGCAGGTCCACATCAGGACTTCAGTCTTGCGTATTCTATAACCTGCGTTACCAAATAAACTATGTATGTATGTATGTATGTATGTATGTATGTATGTATGTATGTATGTATGTATGTATGTATGTATGTATGTATGTATGTATGTATGTATGTATGTATGTATGTATGTATGTATTATTTATCTATTTTCTCAAGGTAATCAGCTGCAATAATCGGTTTAACTGTCAACAAAATACTTGGCTATAATGCTCTGATGTTCTTAGCAGTGGACAAATAAATTATAACTCCATTTCTAGCATAAAATCTTCAGCAAGAATCAACGACAGCAATTGTTAGGCAATTTCCTGTATTATGTATGTTGCGCTAGACTCATATCACGGGATTCATGCTATGTTTGACAACCATGTTGATGCATGCAAGAGTGTCATGTCTGCGTTACAACTTTCAGCTTTCAACATGATGTAGGAACATGTTCAGTCGGCTAATCAAGCAAAAGGAAACGCTAGCCTATAGCTACAAGCGTACATACACACGCTTGTTAGTCTAATTTTTGCAATGCACAGATCGACACAGAGAAACTTGTAAGGCCATAAAAACAGCAGCCGATTCGTTCAAGAATTAAGGACTATAAAGGCGTCTGTAACGTACGGCAATGAGTGTTTTATTTTAGAGATCGAGAAAAAAGGCAGAAAACACTTGTAAAGGCTGAACAACTTTAATATGAACACTAGCTTAATTCGCCAGCAACATTTAGAGTATGACCGTTTTTTTACAAAATATATTTTTGTAAAAAAGCTGTCCTTTTACAAATATATATCAGTGTAAAAAAACAGCTTTCTTACGGTACCGTTTTTTTACACAACATATATATATTATATATATATATATATATATATATATATATATACACCCGTTTTCAAAAAGGTTTTCATTTACAGAGATATATAGATAGATATATACTTTTGTTTTCTTGCACGTGGGCCCGTGTGCATTTACACTTGTTATTGTCCAACTTGTGAAAAAACTTGGTTAAATGATAAATTTTCTTTTTGTTCCAATTTGTCAATTAAAAAAATAATGCACGAACATTGTCTGCCATTCTCTTGATTTGCATTCTCTTGAAAATTAAAGAATGAGGTCACTTGTAGGTCATATAATTGTTGTCGTTACAGGATAAGGGGAAACACATCAAAGATTTTCATTTTTAAAACAACGCAGATGAAATGAAAAAAATGTGTTTTCGAAACCGCTGAGAAGGAAGATGTGACGGTGGATGTCCATATTGGATATGTGGGAAGGAGCAACAATATTATAGCAGTTGATTAAAACGGACTAAGACGTTGACGAAGTTCATAGAAGCAGACTTTATCATAACCATGATGAGCTGGTCATATATCTTAATGTCTCACCTTTTTTCGTGTAAAATCACGGCCTGTAAGGCAACGTCTCATTGAAGACAGAATAAACTCTCGGCCACAAATGCTTTCAAGTTAGTTTACAGTTTCTCTTAAGCACGCTCCTCGACAGCACATTTTTTAATACACTCCATCAATAAAAATGATTCGTCACTTGCTACAGATGCCATGGCATTTGGCCCACCAATTCGGTGACGCCGTATAACTCGCGGATCGGCTGCTTCGCGGGATGTTTTCCTCATTCCCAAACTCAGCTATATAATTCGCCATTGCAAATTTGTATCGCAGGGCGCATGCATTTTTCTAAAAAAGCAAAAAAAACTCAAAACGACGTTCCTTTAAAATTAGAAAAAAAACCCGACGAAGAAATAATTTATCGTTGAACCGAGTTTTTCACAAGTTGGACAATGACAAGTGAGAAATGCACACGGGCGCACGTGCAAGAAAACAAAAGTATCTATCTATCTATATATCTCTCTATATGAAAACCTTTTTGAAAACGGGTGTATATATATATATATATATATATATATATACACCTAATTGCAATAAGGTTGTCATAGAAAAAAGCAAAAAGCAAAAAGCAAAAAGTTAAATAGGAATTAATTAGCACGTAATTATCATAGCTTGCAACATTCACAACACACACGCTTATAGCTGAATATTAATCACATAATATGAGAGAAATCATTTGCATCAGTTTCTTGGTATCATTCTAATGCAATTCGAGGCTGATTCATCTAGCGAATTTCAAACGTGCTCGAATTACAAAGCACATCGGATAACTACCAAAGAAATAATGGCTCCATTTTTTTTCAATGAATATAGCCTGGGGTAAATTCCAGGAACTCAACGCGTGTTTTAGATTAGTGCTAAATAGAAAAGCCAGTCTGCGTATGGTTTGCAGTGCACAACACCATCTGATCACAATTTTCAAGCAACAAATCAGGGGCGTAGGCAGGACTTGTCATCGCGGAGAGGGTAAGGGGGTCCTCCGCCAGTTCCTCACCTGAGCCACAAACCAAGCTTCGTTTGTCAGGACATAATAGATTGGCGACTGAAAGTGCGACAACTGAGATTTAATATTGCTCGCGTCAATTTACCTTTTTCTTTTTCGAATTGTGCCACTTCTGTTGATGGAGAATGTTGGCTCTAAAATGACTATGGCGCCTGTCTATCTTGCAGCGCGGAATTACAGAATTATCTCTTGTTATTGTGAATGAATTCCTAAATAATTGTTAAATACCGAATTAAAATACGCAAATGTAAATCACATGGCTAATTTATTCCTAT